TCCTTCTTATTTACGGTAGGAAGGTAATTCCTGGTATTTTGTTGAGGTCTGATTTGAGGTTGGGGCTGATCTTGGTCATTGTATTCTGAGCCTTTTGATTAATGAGGTGTCCTGTACGGTTGGCATCATTTTTGCATTAACATATCTGGCAATATGTTCCAGCAGATAAGCTCATTAAAATTGTTTGCATTGTTTGATAAGGATAACAATGTAATGGAGAACGCAGCTGGAGTCTTATGCACCCCAAAGCCAGACTTGAAGGGAGACTGATAGCTTTGGTCATATTTCCTCTGAAGTTCTTTTGTACTTGGGTAGTTATTTTTAAATGTTACCTTGATAGCCACTAACAATGCTTTTGCTTTGAGACAGAGCACGCATCCCTCTAAAGCGCATCCTCTCAGCTAGTGAGCAACAGGAAATAACTCTTTTTATAAAGCTTTCATCTAAACATTCAGATGGTATTATGGGTAGAATAATCTCTGTGTATAAATATTGCATATCATAAATGGGACCAAAAGTACCCCACTTCCTTTCTCTCTGACCAAAGAAATTTACCCTTTGCTTACTTAAAAAAAAAAAAAAAAATCTGTAAGCACTCTCTGCCCTGTCATCTGTGACAGTTATATAAACACTTGCAGTTAATTTTGGTTGTGCCCATGAGGTCACCAAAATCTCATACCATATAGTTCCAACTAACGTGTTGACATGGCATCCTCACAGATTCCAAGTGCTTGTTATTCTCTTAATATAAACCAAAATTGGTCCACAATTTCCGGGACTTGTCTTTTGTAGACCTTTGTGATAGGGTCACTATGAATCGGAGTATGCTTGACGGCACAGTTTTGTTTTATTTTTTGTGGCTGTAAAGTTGAGCCCCTTTCACTCTCTTAGTTTTCCATCTTTCTCCTCTGTGAACATCTCAAAGCCCAAAGTGGAATTAAAAACAAAAAGCAAGCAAACAAAAAACCTGAGTGGCTTTTAAATGTCACATATTTAAGCTGTTTTTATAGTTAATAAATTTGAACCCCTCATTTCCTAAATGATTTAATCTCTGCTATGTAGGTAGCCCTGGTGGCGCAGTGGTTAAGAGCTCGGCTGCTAACCCAGAGGTCAGCAGTTCAAATCTACCAGCCACTCCTTGGAAACCCTATGGGGCAGTTCTACTCTGTCCTATAGGGTGTCTGTGACTCGGAATCGACTCGATGGCAGCGGGTTTGGTTTTATGAAGTTAGCAATTGCTTTCAGGAAAGAGTTCGAATTTTACCACGTGGGCCAAAGGAAGTTGCCTGATTAGGTTTTATTACTTATATGAACAAACTTGAAATGTCAGTGGAAAATCATTTGGCAGAAAGGTGAAATGTAAATGCTACCTTTTGGTGATAAATTATTGCTTTAAAGTGAAATTTTATTTCTCTCTTTAATTCAGTCCAAGTTATTTAAATTTCCTGAATTATTTCCAGTTTTCTAACTCCTTATAATTGATACCTGAAATTACTTAAAAAAAAAAACCTGAATTTTAATAAAGATCTGACTGAACAAATACTTAAGTCACTAAGAGCATCATTGCATTTGTATCTTATATAATAGGATTACTGGACGCTATTGTGAAAGATGTCATAGGTTAAATGACATCCTAAATTGCATTTGTATTGTTTTATACCAAGGGTACACATGAAATCAGACACACTTGATGTTTCCCTTGGTCTACTTTTCTTTTAAAGAGGATGACCAGTGTAATATGACTACTGCTTGTTTTTTGGAGGGGTTTAAGGAAAGGAAAAGTGTGACAGACTTTTTTGTGTCCAGGAGGCATTCCATCATTTATTTGGCATCCTGAGGCTGGAATAATATAGCCATTTAATTGCTGAGGAAACTTTGAAGTTAATTTGAAAGCTAGAGATTTAACCAAACAAAGGTTTTACATGGGCTATAAGTTCGATATGGTCCTCAACGATAAGACATGCTTGGAAGTTCTCCTTGGAGTCCCGTGCAGGGCCTGTGTGAATCCAGAGTCCTGGGAAGATCAGGATGAATTCTCTTCCTGGTTCCTTTACTGCCTTCTGGGTAGACCAGCAGTTCCTTTAGCTTTGAATTTTTTTAATTCCTTTCCTTAATACGTATAATGGTATCTAGCCCCATTCTTACAGAGAGGTGTTTGTGAGGTTAACTTTAAACGTTTAAAACAAAAAATCTCTTAAAAGAGAAAAAAAAAACAGTTGCTGTTGAGTTGATTCCGACTCATGGTGACCCCATGTGTCAAAGTAGAACTGTGCTCCATAGGGTTTTTAATGGCTGATTTTTTGGAAATAGGTCTCCAGTCCTTTCTTCTGAGGTGCCTTTTGGTGGATTCCAACAGCCAGCCTTCCAGTTAGCAGCCAAGCACTTAACTGTTTGCGTCACCCAGGAGCTCCCTT